CGGTGAGAAAACGCCGCTGCAGCTTATCGCCGCAGCCGATAAGCTACCCCAAACACACCCTTAGCCCGCAGCTTTCGATGAGGCCCGCCGTAGAAAGGCAAGCCCCAATGGGTGAATCCTATGGAAAAAAGCGGCTAAAGGTCGTTGTCATAAAAGACACTTCTTTTAGATCGACATGCAGAGAGATTGGTACCCTAGCGACCCACGCACCGACAAATACATCTCAACAATTGTGGACGTTCTTTGGTTCGAAAGTTTTGATACGAACTTGGAAGATTGCGACTCTCAAGACCTCTCTATCATGCTGTCGATCGGTATCAACTGCTTAGTCTTGCAGTCACACACAATTTGACTTCCCGTCACCTCCATGCTAGGTAGGCGAACTATAAGGCTGAGAAGAAGGCCAAGATTGTCAAGGCCCAAGCAAAGGCGATTGCGGAGTGGGCCACCGTAGCAGAAGCTTGAGTGATTGAAGTTGAGGAGTTAGAGAATGCATTTGAGTGGCTTTTAGAAATTCAAAACGAGAACAAAGCTTTATCAGAGAAGGTAGACATGATGAGACTGCAGAGGAGTTTGTCGATAATAATGCCAAACACCATCCTCTCGGCATGAAGCTGGTGATTGACCAATTCATGCTGGTTGGAATGTTCGACCCAAAGTACTTCAACTTGGACGAATTCATCATGCTTTTCTTCGCCCCTTCAACACCAACCAGGAGTGGCGAGCCCGAGGATGAGCAGGTGGCGGGTGATAACTCATCTAATATGTGATCCAACCATTCTGATTTCTTTTATGCTCTTAGGAGATTTTGGTTTTTTTTTGCCGCAGAAAAAGATTGTATATGTTTGGTTTTTTTTATATATGCGCCGCATACTCAGATCATTTAGTTAGACATCTTTTTGTCAGTTGTAAGTCCCCTCTGATCTGCGATTCAATTCATAATACTCGAATTGTTAGGTGCGTCGGGATGATCGGTGCTCGTATAATAGCCTCAAGCCATTCTTTTTTTTTTAAAAAAAGAGCTCTTACTCTTTCCATACATAATTGTGTTATCAGCTCTATATTTTTATTACACTCATCTTAATATATTAATAAAAGGAGATGTACAGATAGGTTAGGTGAAAGGCCCCAAAATTGACACTCTAGTCACCCGATATACAACACACAAGTAAGAAATACATGTATACCGAAAAAAAGATTAAAATGTAGACATAGAAAATTGTACGCTAAAAGTCTGTCAACAATAGCAGATTCAGTTAGCTTGAGAATGATCCAATTTAGCCTTGCTTCTGCATCTGGTTCTGGGACGGGAGCCAACTAACTATTTGATAAGTTTGCTGCCATTACCCGAAACAACCAATGTATCATCCATCAAGTTTGATAGTAGGCCTCCATTCTTCTTCTTCCTGGATGTATAAACCTGTCATTCCTCATCCGAAGATTGACTTATTTTATAGTGGATTGGTCCAAAGATTGTCGGACATATGTAGGCTACTGCACATCATGAGCCTCATATGCCTGACTAACAGTAACAACCTACTCTATCTGATGAGGCGGCAGAAACACAGTATAAATATTGCCACCCGTACATCAATGATAGGTTCTAGGGCAGGTGAACTATGAAATATCTCCCTTGCTCCCACGAAAAGAGGTTCCATAGGAGGCAGTGAACCTACATCAAGAGCATTGTATGGAGGGTGAATGGTTGACATAGTTCTCTCGAGGATAATGATATCTTCAGGAGTATTCTTCTGATGATCAATAATGTCAATTACTTGGGGCAGATCAGGAGGAGGGGGAATCACGACCTCTGACCGAACACTTTGCTTCTTTAGCCTTAGATGGGGGTGTAGATGGTGACTTTGAGAAATGGAGTGACCGAACATACGATAATTCGAACAATACAAATGGAAAAATTCAATCACAAACCTTTGCCAATATCCATGGTGTTGCGTGCTAAACCAAATTTCCTCAGAAGCGATTGAAGTGATGTTCCTTGCAACAAGTACCCTGGCTTCAGAGGGACAGGAAATATTAAAAGTAGGAATGTCTGTTTTGAGTTGTTTATCATAGGCTGAGGCAATCATGTACAATACTTCTTGAGTAAAATAATGAAATTTCATGTCAGGGAGGCGAATCCAGACTGAAATGATTGGTGGTTCTTTCTGTGGGTCAAAATCCACTGACCATTTTAAAATCTTTATTGCTCTGTTATCAACCTATTTTGGGATGATCATAAAGGAGTTTCCTGAACAAATTCAAACGATAGGAGGAAACAAACTGACTATATTCTTTTTCCGTTAAAAAGAAAACTGTTCCTACCAGATTTCTTGATGTCCTCTGCTAACGCAAATGAGTGAGGGAAGGAGCATGATTTAGGAGTACCTGAGGCCCCGACACCTGCAAGGGCAGCAGCAACATACGTTATGTTCGAAGCCATCATTAATAGAAGGAGGCACGACGTTAGGAACAGTGAAGTTGCAATGAAAGAAAGAGCAAAAGCCGAAAGAGGATCAACAGAAACTCCTTGAAAGTCGAGCAGAGGAAGACGAAGTCGGAAGAAGGACAGCGTGCGAGAAACAGCTACACCCGCCTCATAACAGTGATGTGTCGAAGGAGGAAGGACGACATGCGAGAAACAACTGCACCCGTCTCGTAACAGTGACATACATACACGCATACATGCATGCATGCATACATACATACATGCATGCATACATACGTACAGACATACATACCTACGTACGTACAGACATACATACAACATACACACATACATACATACATACAAATACACACACACACACACATACCAATACACACACACACACACACACACACACACACATACATACATACATACATACATACATGTATGTATCTGTGTGTGTGTAGATACATGTATATATATGTATGTGTGTGCGTGTGTTACTAATTTTGACAGGGTGATATAAGTACATATCAATTGTTCTGGCAAGGTGTTTACTAATTTTGAAAGCTCGATTTAAGTCTATAACAATTGCTTTGGCAAAATGTAAGCTCTAAAAAATACTCATTATGGAGCAATAATTTGCATTAGTGGTTTTGTATTATCATTTGTCTTACATCAAGGATCATTATTAAGTTCATAACTATTTGTTTTATGGAGGCATCTTGCTGTATGCTTTTGTATGCTATTTTTGATAATATTTGTCTTCATGATCAAAATTGTTTCTAAAGTTATAATAAGAATATTATATTGAAATGTACAAACACTTGGCTTGCAATATTGAATTTTTTATAATTATTCAAAGTTGTTAGAAGATTGTGATATTTAGGCAGGATAACGTTAGTTATAATTGCTATATAAGTCCTTGAAAGGATGTCATATAGATGAAGATTTAACTTTTAGAATGAGTTTTATCCAATTAAAATGAAGGATTGCTTGGTTATTATGTAATAGAAATCCTAAGAAGATTGAAGGAAAATTTCAAAATAAACATCCATACCACCCTCGATGTTTTGTAGGTTTGATTGCTAGGATATTTTGTTATAGAAATCATAAAAAATTAAACTAAAATTTTAAAATAAACTTTCATACAACCCTCTATGTTTTGTAGATTTGAGCTTTGGGCATTAAAAATAAATTAGTATATTCAAGTTTAATGTGATAGAAATGAGAATAGTGAATTGATTGTGTGATAAAATTAAGAATGAGAGGGGCAATATCATTTAAGTGCATAGATTGTTGGGGTGGTCTCTTTGAAGATTAGATTGTGCAATATTGTCCCAGGTGATTTATGCATCATAAAAATAAAGGGGGTAAAAGTTGTATAAAAAGGCAGGGGGATAGAACCATTGTAAAAGACATAGGAAGGACTAGGATTACGCTGATGTTAACTTTGCAGGAAATTGTAAAAATAGGACATGTACATTAGATTTTGTACAATGCATTCTATAACAATCACAATGATTCATAAAGAGGATCCTTTTGACATGGCTAATGATTCTGCTGCATCTTTGGTTTGATTGGTTTTTTTTTATGCAAATAAGTTTTTGAGCAAAAGTCATCATTATTGGAAGTATTAATTTGCACACTTTGACACTATGACAAATATCGAGAAGTTTATATTTTGTGGTTGAGAGTTTCTGAGGGTTTAGATTTGGTTGACGCAGATTCGGATAAGGAAGTATTTGCTCAGTTAATTGTCATTTTTTGAAACTGATTGAGAACATTTCAAAGTTATGATTCTCAGAGAAACTGACATGGAAATGAAGGCAACCTTTTGATTCATCTACTTTCCCAGCAATTAGAGGGCAACATGTGGAAACTCTATTGTCCCTGGGAGGCTACTTCACCCATCTTTCCTGTAGTCCATGTGACAAGCGATTCTGATGCCAGGGAACAAAGAGTCCTCCTTTTAAAATTTTAAGTTAATCATCATATGCACTTGACCTAGTGTTGGATATGAGTTCCCCTACTCTTCTCTGCTGTTTTTAAAATTTTTTGTGTGCGCTTTTTATTCAGTCACTCATAGGGCATCAAATTCTGCTCACTTTCATAAATTTTGTTGTAATTTAATCATTTAAGCCTTCTACTCTTATTTTCTTTTGTTTTATTCAATTCTTTCTTCTATCTACACATTAGGAGGCTTTTCATGATTTTTCTTCACCTATTAAAATGCAATCAGAGCCATTTATTTTTGGAAAAATGATGTACGGTCTCTTAGAATTAATGGCGTCGTTGGCTAGCACATTGCTTTAAAATATGAAATATTTATCATAATGACATGTACACATTGATTTCGATCATTGAAGTATTTGTATAGAAGTAGTGGCAGCTCTGTTCTTAATATAATTTTCTTTTAATTTATAATTTCAGTGAATGTTGGTTTAATGAACTGCAAACTGAACTACTGTGCCTTTACTTTTTTCTTTATTGCTTAGTTCAATGTTTATTGAGATGTTCTATATGCAATATTAAATATTTTAACTTTTTTGCTTTATATATTTGCTGATAGATGCTTGAAAGAATCTGGGTCTTCTAATAATGCACGGTCTTCTTATGCTATTGGAAGGTTGATCAACTTAGTAAGGGTATGTGTTACCTCTGTATTTACATGATCTCTTGAAATTGAGCTCAATGTATGAGTTTTTTATTTTTGCAGTTTATAATTACCATCTTCTTGGAATTAGACTTATCCCTCTTATCTTTTTTGTATCAGGAAAATGATGAATTTTATGAGTTAATATCATCCAGGTTTCTATCAGAAAGTAGATATAACATAAGCATACGTGCAGCTGCATGTAGGGTTCTTCTGAGCTGTCCATCAGCTGGAATAGTAAGTTGTTTGGTTTCGTTTTCAACCTTTTCTTATAGTTTTTTGTCGATACTGTCCTGCATCTTTAAATGTAACATGTAATAACAATTGGTCTTTTTGAATATTTTCTCTAGTATCCCGATGTTTTTGATGATACTGTTCTCGATAATTTCAAATGCTGGATAGTGGAGGACACTCTAGAGGGTTCTGCTGATGTATGCAATTGGAAGCGTGAGTTGGGAAGGAATAAACCAACTGATTTGGAAATGCTTAAAACTTATGCCACTGGACTTCTTGCTATATCACTAGCAGGGTATATTGTTTGTTTTTTTCTTTACCTTCTCTTTTCCTTTTTTTCCTTTCTGCCTTTTTCCTCCAACTCTTGTAACTTAGTGAGTTTGGTGATGGTGTGAACAGTGGTGCCCAGGTGGTTGAAAATATATTGACATCAGGTTTGTCAGCCAAGCTTATGCGTTACCTGCGGTTGCGAATTCTGGGAGAGGCCAGTTCTAGCCAAAAGGATTCTGTTTCTCAATCAGAGGTTAAGCATACTTCTGTTTCTACTTCTGCAAAATTTAGAGAAGAATATAGAGGTAGGTTTCGACCGGTTTTGGATGGACTAAAGATTGTAGATGAATGTTTATCAAGTGATCACAATGCTGAGAGGGATCGAGAGAAAAGTTCTACCATGCGACAGACACATGAAGAAGAAGGTTGGCAAAATTGTGTTGAGTTGCTGAAAAATGAACTTGCTTCCTCAATAGATGATGATTACGGGGAAGGCGATATTGCTGCAGATGACATGGACATTCTTGATGGAAAATTGAAGTTTAGTGAGAGGCAGATTGCTAGATCAGCACATGAAGATGCTGATGAAAGTGTGAGAGATGATTTAACACGTCGTAGGACTAATCGGCTTTGGCCAAGGTCAAAAGGGATGGGAAGGATACATGAAGGTACCATGGAAAATGAAAAGATTTTGTTGTCTCCATCTTCTGGACTACGATTAGGTGACATTGCTAGAAATTCCAGGGATAAGAACCTATATAAAACTGATGACATCCAAAGGGTTTGTGAACTTAAAAAGAACTCTATCAGAATTGGTGTAGATCCTTCTAGTATTGAAGAAGATAATGATGATAGATTTACTGAATGCCTTGTTGGTTCAAGAGATATATCAGAACTTATAAAAAAGGCAACCAGAGCTGCTGAAGCTGAAGCCAGAGCAGCTAATGCCCCATCAGAAGCTATTAAAGCAGCAGGTGATGCAGCAGCTGAACTTGTGAGATCTACTGCTTTAGAGGTAGGACTGGTTCCTTGAACTTTCTTTTATTCCATGCCTGTTTACTAGCCATTGATACTTTTTTCTCTACGTGGTTAGGTATGGAAAAGCACTAGTGAGGAGAATGCTGCTTTTCTAGCTGCTTCTAAAGCTGTATCTACTGTGATAGATGCTGCTTTGGCTACCAAATTCTCAAGGTTCTCTAAAATCTGCCTTTTCTCTTTCTTTCTTTCTTTTTTTCTCTTTTGATTTTCCTCTATCAATAGTTCTCCAAGTTTTAATGTAGACTAACCTCTTAGAATGTCAATGTATTTGATCTATATACCTCAATAATTGATTGATTATAATTTATTATGTTCTTTTAGAACCGTTCAAATTTATGCTATTGAAAATATTTTAAACATGTGTGTTCCATCTTGATGTAGTTCAGTACTCATCATTTCAAATTGTTTAAGGTAATTAAGGCTTATATAAATAAATTTTGTCATACTTTGATATATGAGCTTTAACTTTAAAGAGCTTATAATATGAAATTGGAGATTTTTTAGTCCTATGAGAGAAAAGCAAGTTCTTTTGTTATTTAGCTTGTTAAGATCAGGCTAAAAATGATGATGATAATGATGTTATTCATGTTGGACCTTTGGAGTTTTGACAGGAGTTCACTTGAATATTTTGATGGTTTGGTGGAGTCGAAGGTTGTAAAATCTGAACTGCAAGAGGAGCTTGAAGAATTTTTTCTTGTAGATGGTAAATCTCTGGCACAATTACGAGAGAAGTACTCGATTCTGTGCCTACAAATTTTGGGTGAATATGTGGAGGCTTTAGGACCTGTTTTGCATGAAAAAGGGGTTGATGTCTGTCTTGCATTGCTGCAACGCTTTTCCGGTGATGGCGAGGCAGCAGACAATTTGACATTGCTGCCTGAGGTTCTTAAGCTTATATGTGCCTTAGCTGCTCATAAAAAATTTGCTTCTTTGTTTGTTGATCGAGGTGGCATGCAGAAGCTTTTGGCAGTTCGTAGAGCTTCTGATACATTTGTTGGTCTTTCATCTTGCTTGTTCACAATTGGTTCTCTTCAGGTAATGGCTTTGTACTTGTTTTGAAGTTATAATTGTCGTATTTCTGAATATCTTCCATGTTCTGCATACATTGGAGATCCTTAATGTTTCTGCATTAATATTTTATGTTCTGTACAGGGAGTCATGGAACGTGTGTGCGCGCTAACCTCTGATAATGTGCATCAAATGGTTGAGTTGGCACTAAAGCTTCTTGAATGCTCTGAAGAACTTGCTAGGCAAAATGCTGCCATTTTCCTTGCTAGTGCATTTGTTTTCAGATCAACGTTAGAGTCTTTTGATGCACAAGATGGTATGCAAAAAATGCTTAATCTTCTACAGTGTGCTGCTTCAATTAGATCTGGGGGAAACTCTGGGGTGTTAGGTATGCCTGGTGTGAGTTTGCAAAATGATCGATCATCTGCTGAAGTTTTGTCATCGCAAGAGAAGGCAATTGCTTATCGCACTTGTGTTGCACTACGACAGTATTTCAGAGCCCATCTTCTTTTGCTTGTGGATTCTCTTCGGCCAAATAAAGGTAGTAGGAATGTGGCACGGGGTACTTCCACTAGTGCAAGAGCTTCTTACAAGCCGCTTGACATTAGCAATGAGGCGATGGATCTGATATTCAGACAAATACAGCGAGACAGGAAGCTTGGATCAGCATTTGTTAGAGCTCGGTGGCCGGCAATAGACAAGTTTTTGTCTTCCAATGGCCATATAATTATGCTGGAGCTTTGCCAGGTTGGTGCAACTTTGCTGGTTTATAATATCAGCAAATTTTATGTTTTAATTTATCAACTGCTGTAAACTTTGTGTGTTTGCAGGCCCCAACTGTTGAACGTTATCTTCACGAGTTAGCTCAATATGCACTTGGTATTCTTCATATTGCTACATTGGTACCCTACGGCCGTAAGTTGACTGTGAATGCTACTCTCAGTAATGATCGGTTGGGAATGGCTGTTATTCTAGATGCAGCAAATGGTTCTGGATATGTGGATCCTGAGGTATGGAAAAGCACTTGTCACAATTTATGCTTGCATCAATCGAAAATTTTGTTAAAGTTGATCGTTAGTGTTCACTGAAATGAAGTACTGCTGTTTTAGCATTTACTTTGGTTTGCGTGACAGGTAATCATTCCAGCATTAAATTTGTTGGTTAATCTCGTATGTCCTCCTCCTTCTATAAGCAACAAACCCTCCTTGCCCACACCAAATCAGCTGTCTGCTTACACTAACATGGTGAATGGTTTTGCTTTAGAGAATAGAGAGAGACATTTGGACCGCAGTATTTCCGAACGAAATGTTTCATTTCCTGTGCCCAATGAATCATGGGAATCAAACCTGTTAGAAAGAGGTGCTTGGACAACGTCATGCAGTTCACAGACAACTGTGCCTACAGTGACCTCTGGAGTTGTCGGAGACCGCAAGATATGCTTAGGACCTGGGGCTGGCTGTGCTGGTCTAGCAGCCCAATTGGAACAAGGATATCGGCAGGCAAGGGAGGCTGTGCGAGCAAATAATGGAATAAAGGTTCTTCTTCATCTACTTCATCCCCGAATGATTACTCCACCACAGGCTCTTGACAGTATCAGGGCTCTTGCATGTCGTGTCCTACTTGGCTTAGCCAGAGACGAAACAATTGCTCACATACTAACAAAGTTACAGGTAGTTTCAGCAGTCTAATTCTATTATTAGGGTTTCTATAGAATGCAAGACATGTGATATGACTTATAATAGTAGGTTTGAGGACCTTTTATTATTTTTCTGTTGTTGAATAGCTACTGTCAACCTGATATTCATGTTCCAGGATGGTTTCCTTCTATGGAATAATGATGATTCATGTTTTAGTTGTTAATATAACTGCCTAATATTGCAGGTAGGGAAGAAATTATCTGAGTTGATTCGTGATTTGGGCAGCCAGGCTTCTGGTAATGAGCCAAACAAATGGCAGGCTGAGCTTGCTCAGGTGGCGATTGAATTAATTGCAGTAAGTAGACTCAGTGCTCGTCCATCTGCTTTGTGATACAAATATTCTTGTTTCGTATATTTATTTATTTATTTATATTTTTGCGATGATGAAATTATTATTCTTTTACAGATTGTTACAAACTCTGGGCGTGCAAGTACTTTAGCGGCTACTGATGCTGCTGCTCCCACATTGAGGCGCATTGAAAGAGCTGCAATTGCTGCTGCCACCCCTATTACTTATCACTCCAGGTATCCAAATTTCACCGACAGACAAGATTATTATTTTAGTCATCAACTTACCTGTTCTTTGGTGACTGAATTTATTAATTGCAGGGAACTTCTACTCCTTATACATGAACATCTCCTACTCTCTGGTTTGACAGCTACTGCTGCTGCTTTAAAGAAGGAGGCTGATTTGACACCATTGCCATATTTGTCAGGACCACCTCTCCTTCATCAAACTTCTGTCCAAGAAATATCTACTGTTCAGGCCCATTGGCCATCTGGACGTACACCGTGTGGATTTCTTTTAGATTTTAATAAATTTTCATTTCGGGATGAGGATAACCAAAAGTTTGACCTTGCCATGGGGTTTTCACGGAAGAAGTCTCTAGCTTTTGCTTCGAATCTGTTGCTCGGAAAGAGTCAACTTTTATTGAGCTCATCTTCTACAAATGGTGTATCTAGTGTATCTGCTTCAGGGAATCCATCTGCATCTTACAATGAGGGGGAGATTTCACTGCCTGGAACCATTTCTAATTCAGATTTAGATCATGCTATAAAATCACCAATCATGTTAACAATGAAAAGAAAGTTAATTGAACTTAAGGATCCAATCTCTGCCACACCCTCAGCAAAACGCCTCGCGATTTCTGATGTTTCATCTCCGTCTTCATTCTTTCAGAGTCCTAATAGTGTGCATAGAAGTTGTCTCATAGTTGATGGAATTAATCAATCGCCTATTCGTAATTTTACTCCAAAGTGCTCGTTTGGCCGAATAACTTCGAGCCACATCCCAGTAGATAATTCCGATGAGAGTCATCACCAGAGTGCACTTCAGACCGGGATTCCAGTTGAACAGTTGTCGGGAAATATGGAACGGATGACTCTTGATTCTTTGGTTGTGCAATACTTAAAACATCAACATCGGCAGTGCCCTGCTCCAATTACAACTCTACCGCCACTTTCTCTTCTTCAACCTCATGTGTGTCCAGAGCCAAGTCGCAGCCTCAATGCGCCAGCTAATATGGCAGCACGGGCTTGTGCTCGTGAGGTTGGCAAGCAGTATCGTGGTATCCATGCTGGTCGTCGAGATCGTCAGTTTGTGTATAGTAGGTTTAGGCTATCTCGAACTTGCCGAGATAATGTGTCCCTTTTAACTTGCATTAATTTCTTGGGTAATTCTGATCGAATTGTCACTGGAAGTCACTCAGGTGAACTAAAAATTTTTGATACTAACAGTGGCAATGTATTGGAGAATTATGGTAGCCATCAGACACCTGTTCCAATGATTCAGTCGGCCGTTTTAGGTGATACCCAGCTTATACTTTCATCAGGTACCTTTGATGTTAAGCTGTGGGATGCCTCTTCATTCTCAAATGGGCCCTTCCATTCATTTGATGGATGCAAGGCAGCTCATTTTAGCCACTCAAGCACCACATTTGCAGCCCTTTCAACTGATGCATCAAGCCGTGAGATTCTTTTATATGATATTGAAACCTGTAATTTAGAGCTAAGGATTCCTGATAGTTTGAGCAACCCTTCTGGCACTCTTCGAGGTACAACAGTGTCTCTTATACATTTTAGCCCGCTAGATACTATGTTACTATGGAATGGAGTCTTGTGGGATAGGCGGAGTGGGGCTCCTCTGCATCGATTCGATCAATTTACTGACTATGGTGGAGGTGGTTTTCATCCATCAGGAAATGAGGTTTATTTTGCATCTTTGACCTACTTTCTCAAGTGTGCGAGCTAAGGAGCCTTTCTTTGTTTGTCCTTGCTTATGAATGCAATCTAACATATCTATGCATGTGCTTGGGTACAAACTTTGTTGATGCACATGTATCCAAGTAGATTTTGTTTATTGCATTCATGTTTAATTAAAGAAAATTACATGAGAATGCTTAGCAATGGCATATTTAAACACTTGCTTTGAATCAGTGCAGTCATTAATTTTTTTTTTATTGTACTAGGTGACAGAATTTGTTTGGCATAGTTGTATTGCTTCTTTCCACATTTGATTGATGTTCTGAGTTCTTGATGCTCAATGTCATTGCATCAGCATCTCCCAACTTATATTTTCTGGGAATTACTACTTAGTGCCTTTGCATGTATCTAACTATATATAGATACAAAGATACATACATACTACATTCATAGTCACACAAAAAGAAAGAGTTAAACACCTAACATTTTGAAATGATAGGAGTTTTTATTCTCTCACACCTTATGCCACTCATTCGCACTTTTGGTAGGGTTTAGATTCAAAATAGTTCATCCTCCCTTTTTTTTTAATTCCCAAAGTCTTATTTAGATACTTGAATTTACTTCAAATCTTTTTAACCATCCAAATGAGTGGTGCAAGATGCATGATTGTGTGTGCGTGTCCACATGCGGAAACCTGTAGGCAAAGATTGGGAAGACATCAGCTGCTAGGGTGTGTTCCCATGCATGATGGAGGAACACAACACAACCAGGCCCTGTCGTGCTGCTCATGATAGATGAACAAAACTACATCAGGCTTGATCAAGCTGCACAGGTGGATTTGGGGAGGTGAGGGGAAGGAAGTGTTTCTTAAATTTTTGTGGAAACAAAGTATGGAGATGATCACCACTTTCCCCAAGATCCATCACTGGTTCCTGCTAGACTCAACTGTTTACTTTAATGATCCTATAGCTGCTTCTTTGTTGAGTGCTGTCTTGTTTATCTTGAAGTTAAGACATATTTGTTTCACAGTAGTTATTTTGTCTACTTATGCTCTCTAATTTCATTGAATGATTAAATCCATGTCAGGTCATTCTAAACTCAGAGGTTTGGGATATACGGAAGTTCAAGCTATTGAGAAGCGTGCCTTCGCTAGACCAGACTGTAATCAAGTTCAATTCTGGCGGGGATGTAATTTACGCTATTCTCCGGCGTAATCTTGAAGATATAACCTCTGCTGTGAACACTCGCCGTGTTAGGCATCCACTTTTCCCTGCATTTCGTACTATAGATGCTTTAAATTATTCTGATATCGCTACAGTTCCTGTGGACCGTTGTGTCCTGGACTTTGCTGCTGATTCAGCTGACACTTATGTTGGTGTGGTCGCCATGGATGACAATGAGGAAATGTTTTCCTCTGCTAAACTTTATGAGATAGGAAGGCGTAGACCTACTGATGATGATTCAGATCCGGATGATGGGGGTGAGACTGAGGAAGAGGATGATGAGGATGATTCTGAAGCTGATGTGGACTCTATATTGGATACAGAATCAGATGGCGAAAGAGAGAGTGATTCTGATGATGTCAATAACAATGAAGATGACGAGGATATTGACAGTGGTGATGAGCCAGATGGTGATTTCAACCTTGATGATGTGGAGTTTGACGGGGGCCAAGGAATAGTAGGGATTATGGCTGAGAGTGATGAAGGTGCAAATGAAGATAGCGGTCTTGAGTCTTACAGCAGCGACGAGGAAGGGGGTTTTACAGCCAACGGTTTTGGGTTCTGACTTCAGCCGTTATCAGGGTGCCTCCTGTAATTATCTGTTTTATTTTTTTTTTATCCTCTTTTTATCCTACGCCAGCTATCCGATTTAGAAGCATGGTGAACGAGCACATCAAGGAACTTTGTGAAATATTGGAGGCTTAGCATTGTGAATGTGATGGAAGGCTATTTGGCTGACCGTCCAACTGCCAAAGGGAAGAAATAAGTTTTCATTATGCCATGTTGTTTATATATATATATACTCTCAGTATATATATATATATATATATATATATATATTTACATGTCTTTTGTGAGTTGACCCTTTGGTGTTCTCCATAGTGATGCGCATATTTCAAACATCGTATGATTGTTCTCGACTCCTTTCTCAACTTCAGTACGTCTTTTGAAATTTTATGTGCTAGTTTAAGTGCACTTACACTTACGAATAAATTTATAAAATTTAAATAGGAAAGAGAAATGATATTCATCGGCATGGTTTATTATCATGTGAAATTTCAATGAAAATATTTTAAATAAGAATTAGTGAAATCTCTTTAATGAAATTTAAAAATATTTATAACACTTTTCTAAAAATATTTATGAATTTATGATTGAAATAAATAATTAATTAATGATGAAATATTAATAATCAAATAATTTTCTATAATTATAATAAAAATGCTTATTAATAAACTAGAATTTTATTTTATAACATAATGATATGAAGTATAATGTGGAGAAACAAAAATTTTGAACATAAATAATATGCCTCGATTAACAGTATTAACACATTGCGATCTGTGCACATAAATTTTTTCTTAAGTTTTAATTGTTTGAGTTTTGGTGGAATAAATGAAAGTTATCATAAATTTTCTTTTTATTTGAATGTATTAGACATTTATAAAAAAAATAAAAAAAATAGAATACATTTACAACAACAACAACAATAACAACAACAAAGCCTTAATCCCACTATGTGCGGTCGGCTACAGGAATCCTTTTTCTCCATTGCGTCGTATTTAGTGTCATATTTTCATTTAGTTCTAGTAAATTAAGATCATTTTTCATACAATAAGCCCAAGTCTTCCTAGGTCTACCTCTGCATTTCTTAACACAAGTCGAATCTAAAACATCTACTCTCCTAATCGGAACATCAGATGGTCGACGTTTAATGTGACCAAACCATCTAAGACGACTTTCTCTAATTTTGTCC